CATGTACAAGGAAGATATAGAACTTTTTATTGAGAAAGCCAATGCTGATCACTGAAGTATCAGAAATAGAAACTACATTCTTAGACACAACAGAATATAAGATGTTATAAGGGAGAACGATTCGAGAAAAAAAAAGAATCTTCGATGTGCGTACACATTTTAGGCCTATTGAAACATTTCAGAGCACACACTTGAATAGTTGTAACCCAGCGGAAGTTGAAAGGTTTTACCAAAGGAGAATTTCTCAGGCTTCTTAGAACAAAGATCAACACACTCTTCCAAAGCTATTTGCAAATTTCAAAACACGCCTTATCTTTAGGGGCTACCTGGGCCGAAGGGTATATATCATACCCTCTAAGAAGTTAAACATGAAAGGAAGGAAGCTCTCAAGCAAAAATTGACAACGCATAAAAAGATTCCACCCTTTGTCAAACAATTTCAACCGGCATTTCCAGACTTGAAAAACATGGACAAATAGTATCTAATACACAACCAGCCGTGACTTGGAGAGATATTCAAGGAACCACCCTTGTTCTCCTATAGGAAAGGAAAATCGCTAAAAGAGATGCTTGTTAAAGCAATACTTTAAAGGCTTTCAAAGACTCAACGGGCGCACATAGGAGTCGTACAGGTCTGAAAAAGTCAAGAAAACTTCCTTGTTTGATGATTTACTCATATTAAAAAGACAGTGCATTGATCGACTTCAGTTAATGTGGCTCCTTTGTTAGGGAGGGTTTAGCAGCGTACAATATTTTTAGATCAACTCATCCTGATTTTGACATAACTGTAAATATTTTTGTGTGGGATACATTAATACCAATGACGTCATAACCTTTTGTCTTTACCTCATGAATAAGATTCGCAGGAATCTCATTGACATAAGGTCTTGTGCTATTTTTAGTTGGTTTTTCGGGAGAAGGGATATCCGCTGCCTGCTAATCATGAAACCAAGCCGATCGGCAAGTTTGAAAGTACTCTGAGTTTTTTGGAACAATATAGATCCCTCCAAACCTTGCTCTGAGGTCGAGCGATAGATTCTTCGCAGCGATCGCGTTAAACCGAAGAAGTTATTAATTACTATTTTGCTTGATTTGTAGTGCAGCATTCTGAGGTTATGATGATTTAAAATCGAATAAGCGCACAGCAGTCAGCGTTTTGGCGATAAAAGAGCATGGAAATGCGTAAGTCGATAGTAGAAGATTTTTCCGGGAATGTGGCCCTCGGACTAGAAACGCTCACACAGTCGGTCAATCAGTCACGCCTTTTCTTCGACCCGACAATTTGAACTGTTTCCTTGACGTATTACAATCACCATTTGTGAAACGCCTGGTGTAAATGATACTACGCAGAAAAATAATTGGTTATGATATTGTGGAACGAAAATAATAGAAACAAGACACACGAGTGCGTGAAAACCGTCCTTCTTTTGGTGCATGCAGTGATATAGGGGGAAAATGTGCATTATGTAATAATGGTACCACAGCCCATGGCCATATGAACTTTGATGATGAGTAAATGGAAAAAAATACTACCGGCTGGCAATTCAGACTGAAAAGACTCGAACGTTTCAAAGGGGTGTACTTCACCATGACTGCATAACAATGTAATGCGTCAAATAGTTTTGTAGCTAGTTTTCTTGCCTTTAAATTGGGCATGAGCTTCAGCCACAACCTTAAGCCTGGTTTTCATGTGATCGTCCGGATCGTCCCGATCGCCCCAGTCGTTTCAAAATATTTCGAGACGATCCGGACGACTGGGGCGATTGGTAGTTTCCAAATGATCGTCTCGATCGCCTCAAAGGAAAGAGACGCGGGGTCATCAGCGATGTCTCTGGGTCAGACAATAGAATTTGTGCACGTTTTTTTGCAAACAAGCTACATAAATGGACGATTTTGATTCGCAAAGCGAACCTCGTGCCTTGGTATCTGCTTTTTATCTTGATTTTGCGGCATTGAGAAGCTAGAAGAGTTCCCCGAAGACATAGTATCTCTTCGAAAACTTGATGTCACGGACTTTCTCTAATTTCAAATAAACCCCATACGCTCTGCGAACATTTGTGCATTATTTTTTCGACTTCAGCGCCATCCGAGCCGAATTTATTCTCGATTACTGAAATAAAGGTGATGACTTCTGGGATAGCCTTCAATCGTCCCGATCGTCTCAGTCGTCAGAGAACGTTTCCATATGATCACTTCAAAAGTTTCATGATCGTCCCGATCGTCCGGATAGAACTCAACTCTATCCAAGCGATCGAGGTCGTCTCAGTCGTCCGGGTCGTTTGCAATCGTCTGGGTAGCGTTTCCATATGATCGTCCCGATCGTCTGAACATTTTTGAGACGACTGGGACAATCGGGACGATCCGGACGATCATATGGAAACCAGGCTTTAAGTAGTAAACTAATATTTTGAGGACAAAAACTTTGAGATAAAACCCTATATGAAGAGGAAGAGAACATGTTGGTTGGAATAACATTATTACGCCAGGATGTTTTGGTTGCTGAATTGATCATTGACTGTATCATTGTACATGCTTTTAAAATCGCTACTGAACAAAGGATTGAGTAAAAAACCCAGATCTTCCCATGGGTAAGATCATCTTTATTCCGATTTTGCCGTCACTCTGATGAAGGTACTTCAAAGACAAACTACCGGCATCTTCTTTTAGTTTTTCAAACCATTAGTGGGTCACATGTTAAACAAAATAATAGTGATTTGGTTTTTCAAACCCGCACCATTTTCTTAAAATGAGTCAGTTCGAGGCTGGTCACGTGAGCAAAATGTTTTTTTTTTTATAGATCCCATCTTCGTCACTTTTGGGCAAATATGCAACTTTCGCGATCCCAACTTAGTCACTTTCTATTTTTATGAATTGACCCATTTTTTAGATTAATGAAGTACAAACATTCTGTTACGTTTGCTAACCGTAAATATGAAGAACAGTCTCACCCCCAAAAATCCGAAAATGTGCGACCCCATTCCCCATTTTAGTAACTCTATTGAAAATGCGACCCCATTATCGTCAATCCAGTCGTGAAAATGCCACCCCATCCAGCGGCACATCCCCATTAGCCTCTTATATAAGTACAGTACCCCCCACCCCTCCGGGAAGGAAGCTAATTTAATTTATTGGATGGCAATTTAAGTTTTCCCCTACGACACTATTGTCGCTTAACTACAAAATACTCGACACTTTACAGCTAACTACGAAGACAAATTTTCTCAACAAGGATGTATATACCCCCACTGTGATCAAAATAAAACTAACAAACGCTTGAATTTTCCACACAAAATGTCAAATTAAATGTCTTAATTTGTTAACGTCAGTTTATCTATCCTGTTTCAACATTTTGCAATCACGGGCATGATGTTAGCCTCTGTAAATATTCAAATGACAGCATCCTCGAAAACACAGTTGATGGCTGCCTATACTTGCAGCTGGTAGCCCGTAAAATGTAATCACAGCTGTAAACAGTTGACGAAAAAGGCCACAGAAAACGTCAGAAAACAGCTATCGCGTTGGAAAATCAACTCTAAAGACGCCACTGGCACATCTTAGGTGTACGCGTACTTGCTGATAGGCTCACTTCATATCTCGTTTCATTTTCGAAAATTCCAATCGTGACTATCGCTGGTCTCATCCCCATTTCGGAATTCGGGAAAAATAAAAACTGGTGCTTCTATTATTTCTCTAAACGGTGTCCGCCCGTCCACCATGGAAGGAGGGTGTCCCCGCTAAACTAAACGAGTTACACAGGCAGGGCAACATTTCATACCTGTGCGGGGGTTTCCGTTATGAAAGGGACGGGGTTGTTCGTTTCAAAATAACTCAAATACACCGAATGCAAATATGGCGGACCTCTCGGCCGGCCCGGGTCTAGTTGCGCGAAAGCGAGGCTAGTGAGGCCTCAAGAGTTTTGGGTTGACTGCGCGTCTTAGCGATTGAGTCGATCGATATGATTTACTTCCAGTTGTTGCGTGCCTGAGCGCCACCTAAAAGGAGATTTTACTCTAGCTGGAACTACTTTTACTTTCCCGAGATCTTTTCACAAGAAGAGTTAAGGATTCATGCAATTCGGCGCGGCGATGGGAAGCATTTTACAGCGAAAACGCAAGTGTGCTCGCTTCACTTGCTTTAGTAGAGAGGACTCACAAAAGTATTTGAATGAAAGAATTTTCGCAAGAGATGGCACTGTTCCATGACGTTTGCGTGATCCGTTATTTATCCAAAAAAAGGTAAATATTCTCCAGAACGGGAGCATCCGCTGTCGACTTTAAGATCTTTTAGATTTCACGCTGGAAACAGCCTTAGTTAGAATGTGCGTTCACACACGTGGTTAGCAGCTACGCAAATTTATTGAAACAAAGAACGTTTTTACATAAAAAAAGGTTTATTCCGAATTCCAGGTACTGGATTCCGATTCTTTGTCAGTGGAACTTAGATTCTGGATTCCAAACCCTAGGATTCCGGATTCTGCAAGCAAAATTTTCCCAGATTCCAGAATCCGGATTCGGCAAGATTTTCGTATAACTCCATACATTAATTATGTACACATTTGTTGTTTGAAGAAAACAAAAGACAGAACAATACCAAGCCTTTGGGATTTCAGCTATTGTCATAAAAGTTTTTAATTTTTTGTCTGTCTTTTTTAAACGTCCTAAATTTGGCGCTTTTTGCAATAAAATAGAAATTTTTCCAATTAAATTTTGAACCTTTTTTCCGCTCGTAAATCTAGCTATACAATTAAGTCTGTTTCGAAAAATTAAACAAAATATTTCGCTGCGTACAGCATTAAATTCGCTTAACTAACCTCCGAATTTAACACGCTAAACAAAATGATATAAAAACCTACCTTTTTAGCTGTGTTCGTCCGAGTTTTGTTTTCCCTGAAACATTTTCTGAGGTACCCGCCTCCTACGTCTGATCTGTCTGTGTTCCATATCTTAATGTCGATGGTTTTTGATCACGAACGGTGCATGGAGTGGTATATTTTTACGCAATTTAAGCGTCGTCTCCGACGTTATAAAGTTCAGCGACATTCTTCAATATGTTTCCAAAGGGGTTTTCTCCGTAACGCTTACGCCACAAAAACTCTTGTAGGTACCTTTCTAAGAGTTCTTTGGATGTTCCTGTACGGGGATAACTTCGCTTCACTCCCCACCATGTATTTTCGATACCCTGTGTGTGGGCACCTGTGTCTGGGTCTACGATGTTTAGGTTATGGTCAACTGTGAGACGTTCGATCGTAGCCCTCGTCTTGTAGGCAGTCATAAGATCTCCATAAGTCGCTCATCACGCGTGTAGTCCCGGCAATATTTGAACGCGAATAATAGGCAAGAGAGTTTCTTTATCCCTACGCTCTACCAGGAGACGGAAGCAGGCCTTGGTTTCGCGGCAAAGGCCACCAAAAACCCACTTCCCTTCGATTTTGCGACCTCGGTGATACTTCGTCTTGCCAAACTTGGACTCGTCAATCTCCGCAGTTGTTCCAGGTCCGCCTATTGGCCCCGCCTGCTGATTCATGATTCTGTCGGCACAAATTAACCTCAAAGCAATAGTTACCGTTTCTGTTGGCGTTTTTTCATCCTCCAGTGAGGTTTCGTGCACTGCTTGAGTAGTGGTAAATTTGTGCGCCCAAGCGTAAGTTAGGGCTAATATTTTTTCAATGGATAGCCTGCTACCAGAAAACCGTGACTTCGGGCGCATAGATGCTGACCCATTGCAACCTCTCTTGGAGCATCATCACCACTCGCACCTGTCTCGCGATGACGCTCATCTATTCCAGCTGAGTGCATTGTGGCACTCAGCTCTAGAGCATTTCAATGACGACGCAAGAAGGTGGTTTTCCTTACACCACTCCATGCACCGGTCGTGATCCGCCAAAATTTTGGACAGCTTGAAGAAGTTCAGTTGAGCCATAGCCACTGATAAACAACGTCTGCAAGTCTACCCATTGAAAAACAGGAAAAGAGCGTTTCTGAAGGGTGCGTGCTTTTTGTAGCCTGAAGGGATACATTTTTTCGTGGATATGTTACAAGCAAAAGCGTGAATAATGTACTTGACTACATGTTTCAGTTGTATTGTTATGTATATTTGAACTTGGACATGCAAAAAGATGTTAATTTTTTATCCGGTAAATCGCAACAAATCGTCGTGGTCTAGTGATATGGCAGAGAGACAGGAACGCCAGATCCAAAGAGGATCGTTGGTTCAAATCTCGCTGACGGCCAAGGACTGAAAAGGAAAAAGGAAACCGCGGGAGCACTGGAGAGAGTGGTCGGAGAAAGAGAGGAGGAAAAAGAGCGTGAGAGAGGTAAAAAAATTAGAATCCTGTTTTGTTAACGCAGTAAGTATTAATTTGTCTTGGAAGACAATAGCAGGGATATATAATTAATGATATCGAATGCATAATTAATGTATGAGGTTATACGGAACTTTTCCCCGGATTCCCTTACATGGACGAAGACGTCATGTGAATTTCCATACTGAACACCCAAATTCCTAACAAAATCTGCGATTTACACCCATAAGCGAGACAACAATCCTCCCCATCTCTTTCATTGGACTCTTTTTAAAAGTCCTTTACTGTTTTTTTTCCTAGTTGCTTATGCCATTTTAAAGGACTTTTCATACCTATTTGACGCGAAATTCACGCGTAGAAAATTGCAACGGTCACATCATGACAATTAACCACACATGTGAGTGATATTTAACGCCACTTCCAACACAGTATATGTCAATCATTTTTCCTGCGTGAATTTCCTAATATTAGTATGATTCAAATCCACTCACGCGAAACAAAAAAAAATTGTTTCAGTTCCCGCACGCACTACCTTCTGGACTAGCTATACCTTTTCGCCATTTAACACACAACTACATAGGTTTGTAATGCTTGGTACGATTTTACCTTTTTCAATTTTTTTTTTATCCAGGCCAACTTCCAGGACAAGTCCATCCCTTACCCAGCCGGGGATGGGTATGGTTTCAGGTGGTCTTGCCCCAAGGGTGGCTTGTTGGGGCTAATCGTTATGTAGTTCTCTGTTGGAATTCTCCATTAAATAAGCGGCGTGTCTTAAAAGAGCCTCTATTTACGACCTTAAGTTGCCATACCCACATAACAACTCCGGGAAACACAGATTGGTCTACAGTCCTGCTAAACTTTTCAATGCCCCTGGTTCTGACCTAAAAGAGTTCTCTACTCCATCTTCTCCACCCACATCCTAATCCCTTAATTCTATCCTCTCCTCGGTCTAGTAATAGTTGACACTACAGCTGCCCCCGCTCTGTTTATTGTCGGTCAATAGTATTCTTGCTCGTTGTGTAGCTCTTTGAAATATACCGATTCATAATGAAGATTTTTACACATATTCCATACAATAGGTGAGACAAATACGGGAAACGCAAGGTTCCGTGCACAGTTTCATTTCGATTTACACAGCTTTGATCAAAACATTCTCAGTTTCTAGAACGGTTTATTCTAAACCATAAGAAAAGATTTAATTAGAAGTTCAAATTTTTGGCTATTTCTCTTTCACTTTTTACAATCAGTCCATTTTATTTGCCGGAAAGTAAGCCTTAGAAATTAAAAGGACGTTTGATCAATTCACGCTTGCGCATTCTAGTTGCTGCGGAGCGACCGTAGGGAGCGAGCAGCAACATAATCAGGATTTAAGGGAAATATATAAGGGGCGACGAATTCTCGAATTCATCACTTTTTACCACAATGCATTGCAGTTATCCACATTTTTTACCACAATGCATTGCGACAGGGAACACGATGAGAGCCTGCATCGTTCGCTTCCCAGACTCAGAGTTTTCTTTGTGGCAAATTTTCTACAGCACGGTTAGAGGTCTTAACAAATTTAAGACACGCAGGAGTCTTTCAGATGAGTACGATGGTTAACTTGGGCATTGGATTTTAATTCAAGAGCCTTTGACACGTCTAGTCGTTAAACTTCACGGGAAGATGAGCATTTGCTCTTCGACCCCGCAACACGGGGAATATACAAATTCCAGCTTGCTAGAACGTGATGTGAAAGTGAGAAAATGTCATGCCATGCTATTCTTAAGAACCTATACGAGCCGAAAATGGATGTGATTTTGACCATTAGCTTCAAAATAACAGCGGAAATCGAGATAACAAAACATATGTTTTGCGTCCTACTTTGCAGACGAGGGCGTGTATCGTCGTTTTGTAAAGTTTGTAAAGCATAATTATGTTCTTTCATTCATTCATTGCCATGGCATATGCGTGTGCATTGTTTTTGTACTGTTTATAGCTTAGTTAATGCAGCTTGATCATCTTGCCGGCGGAAGTTTCATCCAAAAGGCATTAAATTAAAGACTTTTCCACAGCATTATGAAACGGCCTCAGTAGTGTAGTGGTTAGGTGTAGTCGCGTCGAACCCAAGATGCCGGGTTTGAGTCCTACTCAATTCTTGCTTTCCTTCTTTCTCTTTTTTTTCCGTTTTTTTTGGGTTGTTATTTTCTATAAATATATACCTAAATAACTGTTATTTAATAAAGTGCAATAAACAGCAAGAAAAGTATCGTGTTTCCAGTGAAAAGATAGTACACCGTATATTAAATATATGGATAAACAATCTGAATTTCTATCATTTCCTGCAATTTACTGTGGGAAAACCAGAGTTGATAACCACTTGTCGTATGATCATTTTATAAACAACGTTCCCACAAGTTCTTTCTATAGTCTGATGGTAATTATTACTTTCCAACATGGAAATAGGACAATCAATGTCATTTTCGATTCTTTTAAGTCTCACGGGCTAACTAATGCCAGTATCAACAGAATGTGCCGCAGCATTACTATCTTTTAGATACCCTAGTCTTATTTTAAACTTTATAGCGGAAGGACATCTGTGAGCAGGGAACAAGTCAGCACAGAATTTGATTGTCGGCGAATTTCTGTAATCGTCCATCGTTCTGCTAGTGATAAGCTAGCTGTTGTTCATTCGTCTTGCTTGTTTGGGGCTGAGTCTTATCCGGTCAAAGAGAGAGAAAGAGTATCTGGTAAAGTTTCCAATCAAAGATTTGTGAACTCGTGTCTGGCAAACCTCTCCAAGTGTTTATATATACACAGTTATACGCACCGAGTGTCTTTTGGTCGTTACTTTCAAAATAACTGCTCCACAGAATGTCACTGACAATACGTAACGGAAAAGAGTCAGAAAGAGTATCGAAGTATGACTGCACAATAAATGTCACAAAATCTACCTAAGCGGTCCCTTCGGGATTTTCTGTCTTTACGCCATCCTAACCATTTCGTACTTGCGGGCGCAAACAATGGAAACGTCATCATTACCTACCGATTCCTCTCGCGGCCCCTGTTTAAGAAAATCGAGATTTTTCTGGCATACCGACTGTATATTTCAACTGTAAGTACTTTCCTTAATATACGCGCGAGTTACTAGAGTGCCTCCTGGGCATTTCGCCTTCTGGGCGAAATCCCTGGGGGGGCAATAAGTCGCCGCCTGGTTAGCTCAGTTGGGAGAGCGCCGGTCTGCTGAGAGGGAGGTCGCGGGTTCATACCCCAGCCGGACTAACACTCAGGGTCTTCAAAATAACTTGAGGAGAAAGTGTTGCCTTTGCAATGACATCTGCAAACGGTTACATTTTCTAGTCTTCTCGGATATGGACGAAAAACCGTAGGTCGCGTCCCACAGCACCTTCACTTATCTGGTTCTTATGGGACGTAAAAGAACCCACACCACTGTTCGAAAAGAGTAGGGGTCGTAAACCGCGGTGGTGTGGCCAACCTCTCCTGGGCTGAGTGGGTTATCTTTAAGGACACACTTAAATTGGAGCCTCGCTCTGTTGTGTGCTCCGCACCATATGGTGGAAGTGATTAAATAAATAAAAATATATATATAAATAAATAAATAAAGTCTAAATTATCTACGTTTCTTCCACGCATAGAGTCTACTGAACATTTGGAAGATCTCTTTTGCTAAAAATGCCACCATTCTATTTATTGTAACTGTTTTTCTTCATAGTGCCAACAACTTCATAATTAAACATTTTTCATTGATTAACACACTCATATTACATGCTTTAGGAAATATCCATTAGCCATTATTCATTATTATAATGTACAATATTATAGACCTATTGTAATTTTCACATATAGTGTATTTTACTTCAATAATTTGCTAGTTGTTATATAATATATAAAATATAGAGGATATTACATGGCCGCGTGAAGATACGAAACTTCCCTTCGAGTGTTGAAAACTATATCACGAATGAGCGCAGCAAACGAGTGAAATATTTTTTCAACACGAGAAGAGAAATTTTGTATCTCCAAGCGGCCATGTAATGTTCTATTTATTATATAAACACCAATGAAATACCAAACCATTTCACTTTAGTAGTTTTTTGGTGTGAAAGGCGCGATTTATTATGTAGTCATAACAAAGGTGATATTTTCACATGTGAAGATATCAAGTTTTCGCGTGAAAACTCACCTGGTATTTCATTGGTGTTTATATAATAATGTATTGTATTGCATCATCACCATCATCATCATCATCATCATCATTATTATTATGTAATAGTTATTATTGCTATTCTAGAAGTATCTCTGCTGCAGGTCACAGAAGTTAGCAAAATCCAAGCCTACAGCTGCACATACAGTTACACTAAGTTACTGCAGCAAAAAAATAATATAACGATTTTCGTGTATTGAGTCACTTTTAGGGTTGAATAAGCAAGAAAAGAACAAGACAATTAAAGAAATAAAAAAAATGAACTACAAATGAGTTAATTATTGTTGAAATAAACCACAAAATTTAAACAGCACCTTCTCTATCAAATTATTTTGGAAACACTAAAATAGAAAACTAGGCACTTAAGTATTAGAAAAAGAAAAGGAAGACATTAGTTAAGCAATACCTTACCTATAAGTAGAATATTTTCTGCATATATCATACTGCAGGTCGGCTAAATAATCTGTTGGAAATTAAATAGACGGAGGGTTAGATCACTGAATGAGGGCCTGTTTATATGAAGTGAGCTGGCTCGAGCAACTTGGAACTCTGCAAGCTAGGCCAACCCACCTTCTCATATAAACACAACAAAAATTTTATAAGTCAGGAAACAAGGCACAAGCAGTGTTCTCCTTATCAGGCGGTAACCGGTAAAATTTACCGCCTGAAGCAACACTTCTTACCGCCTGCAACTGCTTAAAGGTTTACCAAAATTAAATAATTTAAAAAAAAAAAATATGCGAGTTGTGATCCGATCCGATCCTCACAAGAAAATGAATGAATATGTGGAAAAGTATAGCTACCTAAGTACAAAACGTACAGCCCAAAAATAATGCATGTTCAGGAACTTCTTTTTGCGTCCGCAAGCTGGCAACTTCGTGCGGCTTTTTGCAGGGCGCTTGCGCTTGAATCCAGCAAGACGCAAGAACTTCTTTTGCGGTTATAAATTTAACCACAAGAATTTCTTAAAATTATCTTGTGCAAAGGTAACCTTTTAAGCGAGGAAATGTGTACAATTTTGATTTAAAAAAAAGCAGCGCTTCAAAAAATAAGGAACGATCGTAGTATGTTTCGCAAAAGAGCCGTGTAATTTGAGACCGCACGTGCAACTGTGTCAACTTAAAGCGCTCTCGGAAAAAAGAAACATACTAAAGTAAAGGAAGGAATATTTTCACTAACGCCTCTTTCAACTTAGCGCAATAAAGTAATAATAATTTCCATGTTTTCTTGTGGGCAGAAATTCAACGCCTTTAGTTTGTTTTGCCGAGACTATGCAGGGCTTCTGATATTTCGCGGAAAAAAAAGCAAAATTTCGCGGCATTTTCAGGGGCAAATTCGCGGAAAAATCGGCCGATTTCGCGGGATTTTCGCGGGAAAAAAGTCAAAACTCGCTCAAAAATCGGCCCATTTCGCGTGATTTTCGCTGGAGAAAAGTCAAAATTCGCAGAAAAATCGGATTTCGCGGGATTTTAGCGGAAAAAGTCAAATTTCGAAGGATTTTCGGGGCAAATTCTTAGAAAAATCGGCCGATTTCACGGGAAATTTTTGGGGGAAACTTCGCCAAGAAATAATCAGTAAAAAACAACCGATTTCGCTGGATGTTTTTGGCAAATTTCGCTAAAATCGATCAATTTTTCGTCGATATGACCAGCATTGTTTAACGTTTTTTTAACAGGGATAATCACTTGCTCTTTCAACAACAGTTCGTTCGAGAAATGAGCAAATGCTAAAGCTGTGAACATTATGGTTAGTGCCCAGTTTTTCGCAACGTTCATCGAAGACGCCTGGTAGTTTTGAGACGTTGTTTACTCGTTGCAGTGACGAAGTTTCAAGATAAATTTGGACGTTTGAGGTGAATAGAACAGGTCTAATAGCCAAGATAAGTATTAAATGTATTTTGCCGACATGCATTTGGAAATATTTCTGGCGGATTTCGCGGTATTTCGTGTTTTTTGGGGAATTTCGCGGGATTTCGCGGAAATACCTGAATTTCGCGGGTCCGCGACCGCGCGAATTATCAGAAGCCCTGACTATGGTATCGTACTATGAAATGATCCAAATAATCGAAATGTTCGAAACTACAGATCGTTTTGTTAAACAAACGCCTCACACGCTTTATCTAACTTTGGAAAAGCTAAACGATTGAAGTGTTCACTTTGCACAAAAAGCAGAGAAAGCTGTTCGCTTTCCCAGGCGACTTCAGTTTTACGTGTGTACTTTCATGATTACCTTTCGCTGCCACAGAGTGAATTAGTATCAACGCTACAAAACGGTGTTGTCACAAAAAGGCAACAAACACTACAAACTTCTTTCAGGTTAACACTTATAAAGAACTTCATGGGCCTTCTTGAGGCTTGCGGTAATTTTCTAGCTTCTTGCCGTGAAGATTTTTGACTTCTTTCGTTTCAAAGTTCTTGCGGGTAAACCACAAAGGGTCCGCAAAAATACGGCAATTTCACTTCTTGCGGTGGCTTGCATGTTCTTGTGGCGCAGCAACTTTGTTACGCCACTTTTTGCGCGTGCATTATTTTGGTTCTGTACTAGTACTGTATATGCAGCTTTCCTTTTTAGGGACATGCATGTTGGAGGCATAGTAAAATTATTGGAATCAAACGTTTTAATTTGTTTTTTAAAGATAACGACAGCAGATTTGCGTAAAATAGGTCTTAAAATGTGGGAATAAAAAATTTCCCAGTGAAGGCGGGTCCATGTCCCTCACTCCAGATTTATACAGATTTATACGGATCAACCAAAAATGGAAGGCATAAACATGAATGTCAGCTTAAAAATGTCTGACCTTTACCATTCCCTTTCATGATAATTTCGCCGCGCGAAAGACGAAACGAGTTCAACGCATGCAAGAGTAAGAGTAAGACCCGACTGAGGACCGTCGAACAGTCATGAGATCGCAAGCAATTTCAAAACAAACTGCAATCTCAAATCCTCCACGTAAAATTAATGAAGAAAGATGAAGCTTACCGTCTCCTTTTTCCGTGCGTGGTAACTGTATGCGACCCATGCGGCCATCGTAGCGGCCATTTTGTAGTCGGCTGGTGTGAGGCCTGGAACTGAGTCTAACGTAGCCTGCGTGCAGACGATAACTAAACTCTGATTAGTACCGTCTGCGAAGCAGCGCAGAGATCCTTGTTCTGAACCTCCAACGGACTCAACGGATTACCGGAAGTGCGTTTTGAATTCCCCTTCCACCTGATTGGCGATCACGACAAACAAAACAAAGGCCTTTTTTAACTGGCCAATCGTGGCTCGTACTCAAATCTGGGTACACAGCTGGGAGTCCAGAAGAAGGATTTCGGCGCCGTTTCGCAGACGGAGTTAACCAGAGTTTAATTTCGTCTGCGCGCAGGCTAAGTCTAACGCGGCCAGTTTTGCGGGAGGGGTAGGTTGGGTGGGGTTGGGGGGTGGGTATTCGAGCTGCCTCAGTGGACCGTAGAACAGGGAGATATACCGGACCAGGAGCCTATTATAGGCTCCTGACAGACAGAACATAATTTGCTAGTGTTGTTCAAGTACTTGCATTACTGGAAACTGCCGGAGAAACGAGAAGTGAGAAAGCCACAAGCCGAGGGACGTTTTGGGCGAAACATCCCCAGCTACGAAGAGCGAGGAGAAACGGATGTTTTCGCAGGCTACCTGCGATCAGGCTTCTATCAAAAGTAGCAAACGGGAACCTTTTGGACATAAAGAAGGTGCGTTGATATACCCCTAGTCCAGTTTCTCTTGTAGTGACAAGTAGAACGTCATTAAACTGTTCCCTTTAAAAAACAAAACAAAATAAAGCAAAAGGGAAAAAAACTAAAGAAAACACGCATAGGGCAAAGAAAAGCAGGCTAGGGCAAAACAGTATCTGAAGCTATATCTACATAGTCACGTGACTTCCTTAACTCTTCAAACGTACCGAACTGGCTCGAACTTACAAGCGAGTGTACCTCTGAGTACCCCTACTTAGTCTGGCAGAAGGGAAGAAGAAGAGCCACCCACCCTACTTCTAAAAAGTCCTGAAAAAGATTTTGGCCAACAGGGGCTCTCCCCGTAAAGCTCGTACGGGTTTGTTGAAAGCCCCTGCTCCATATACCGTATTTATTCGAATAAGCGCTCAACCTCGAATTAGCGCCCACCTCGAATAATCACTCATCCTAAGGGCAGGAAAAGTTAATAAGCGCCCAGCCTCGAGTAAGCGCCCACCCCTCCTCCTTCCACTCAAACTCAAATAACCACCCACAACCAAAACCCACCCCCCTTCCCCCTCCCACCCAACAAAAATGAATAAGTACTAATAACAGACTTCCCCGAAGACGGAATTTTCTTCAGAGTTTTTACAGAGACTTGCTTTGTTACATCTTCGCGTTTTGTTATTACCTTTTTTTGATTTGTTACAAAATAAGCATACTACACTTTCTGAAAATAGTGGAAATTTAATAAGCACCCAGCCTCGAATAAGCGCCCACTCTCAAGGTCCAAAAATTTAATAAGCGCCCAGGGCGGTTAATTGAATAAATAAGACAAATGTATAAAATGTGTCATGCAAAATCTTTTTCTGAAAGACCTAGCCAAAATTTGGCCATGCTCTGTTACCACATAGTGAAAGTGGAGAGGGATTGGGACCTATCAAGACTTACCGATTTTAAAACTTACCGAGCGCCGAGAGTCATGCCGAACTCGTCCGAATGACTCACGAGTGAATTTCAGCAGTGACTGAGCGCTCTGATCTGTCTGATAATCTCGTGTCGTTATTTATGGTGCGAAATTTATTTACCATAGACTACGATTCGGGTTGGCAGTATTTGTTGATCTCATCCGTTTCTGTATTTTGGCTGGAATTTCACATGTAAGGATGTCTTGCTGTCACGGCTGCTAAGCGTGTTTTCGTGTTGTTGTTCGGCCATCTTGGCTAATTCAAATGATACCTTTCATGTAAATTGTGCTTGTTGACGATCAAGGTCAGCGAACTGTGGCTCTCTTAGAGAGAATGTTGCTGCTTCTTTGGTACCATGACTGGGATCTATGAACTGTTTGACAGCTAAATAAGGATTTAACTCTACGTCCACGCCATGAGCGAAATTGCAGAAAACGGGTAAGGACTAACCTAGGTTTGTTGGTTCACAAATCCAAATTACTTAAGCTCATTTAACCGGAATGGTGAACAAACTTTATTCGAGCCTTTTCTAAGTCCTAGATCAAATCTCATGACCCGAACAGAATTGATGAAATGAAGTTCATAAGTTTGAACCTTTGACTCATTTCGTCAGACTGTATCAACATTTTGACAATGTATCTAATAACCAACACGTCCCACTCGATTCGCATTTGTCCACTTTAATCAGTAAGGAAACAGCAGAACATATCCTTCGATCCAAATCTTTTGTCTTTAATAGTAATGAAACTTAATAACTTGGATCCTAAGACCTATAATTGATCAAGGTTTGAACTAACGATATGGTTTTATATAAACTCAATTATTGCCTGTGCAGACGTGTTGTTGATATAATTAGATCTACATATTTTAGGTAAACACTGCGATATGTTAATTCCTAAATTTCCTAAACTTGACCTTTTTTGTTTTTTTAAGGGTCAACTAAACTGTGTGTGTGAGATGTGTGTATTATGCCATTCATAATAGTTTTAGTGTGATTATAACTATAAATACATGTACATGTAAATCTTAACTTCTTAATGACTAAACAATGTTGTTGTATAGATATTATTGTTTAGAGAGTAACATTCTGTTTCGTATGCCAACTGTCCACCACTGTCATTTTTGTTGTCATCATCATCATCATCATCATCATTATCACCATCATCATCATCATCATTGTTGGGATTAGCTGCCAGCTTTTTTATGGTTTTTACTTGATCAATGCCTGGGGGATACGTGCTCAGTTTATATTGTTGACTGAGCAGGAAGGGTGTCAACTTATGCTATTTGTGTAGAAGGGTTGAAGTTTCCAGTATCGTCCTAAGATACATGTACAAAGAGGCCCTCTTAGGGGTGTTACGTATGAATTTCAAAACCTGATGTTTTGCATATTATAATAAATGATAACTTATGATTTAGAGGTAGCACATCCACAAAGTGGTTCTTTGTCTACCTGGTTTCTGGTCGAATTGGAATTTGGAAATGTTGGTTTTTGAGGAGAGGGGAAAATCGGAGTACCCGGAGAAAAACCTCTCGGAGCAAAGGAGAGAACCAACAACAAACTCAACCCCCATATGGCATTGACGCCAGCATTTGAACCCGGGCCACATTGATGGGAGACAAGCACTCTCACCACTGGGCCATCCCTTGCTACCCAGAAAGCCATGTCACTGTTGATGTTTCACTGTGGTATTTGTGCTTTTCTCTGTTGCATCTTTAACCCATCTTTGTGTCATTTGTCGCCATTTCTTCTGTGCTATGTCGCTGTTTCAAGGCCATGTCGCTTGTCAGTATATTTGCCCTAATAGGCTTTGTAGAACCTCAGCCAAAACCTGTTGGAATTATCTACCATACAAACTGTCACTAATTCCGCCTTCCATGTCGTTCTGGATACACTCCACCTTGGGTTTTAGACCTTAAAATAGAAGTATGAAATGTGGCTTCTAAATTCTTGCAAAATAAAGTACAGATGTAAGCACAAAAAACAAGTTACTTACATAAAAATCCTACCTTTGGAATGTTGTGTACATGTCTTTAGCATTTTACACTTGTTAACACAGACTTGTAAGCATTTTGATTATGCTGAAGATGATAATTATTCACCTACGGTATGTATCTGTTTTTTAAAGGGATGATGGCAGTGGGGCTGGAGTAGATGCACTAGATGATGATGGTCAACAACCAAAGAAGAAAGTAAAGTAAGTTCTTGAGCAGATAACTACTTTTTGTGCATGGAATAGAAGACCCTTCCATGGTTTTTTCAACTCTTGACTTGGGACCAGTTTAGCAAAAATGCATTAATACAACTGGACACCTGGCTTCTGGTGAATTGAGGAAAAAAAGTCAAATTTCGCGGAATTTTTAGGAACAAAATGTGGAAAAATGGGCCGATTTCGCGCAAATTTTCGTGGTTTTGTGGTTATTTTTGGGGCAACTTTCACTAGAAATCGATCGGTTTTGCGCTGATCAGACCAGGGTTTTTAATGTTTTTCTGAAAGAGGTCATCATTTGCTCTTTCAACTGCCATGCGCTCCAGAAATGAACCAATGGCAAAGCCTTTAACTTGATGGCGAGTGCCCAGTTTTTCACAACATAATCTATGCCTAGTAGTTTCAGGACGTTGTTCGCACATTACAGTGACAAAGTTTCAAGATAAATTTACAAGTTTAAGGCCCAAGTAAATAGCCCCAATAGCTGAGACAATTTTCAAAAATGCTGTACACACATGTATTTGATAAGATTTCTACTGAATTTCGTGGTATTTGCGTGTTTTTGTGAATTTCATGGGATTTCGCGGATTTACTTGAATTTTGCAGCTCCGCGACCACACGAAATATCAGAAGCCCTGACTAGAAAAAACACCTTAAAATCAGTAAAGTTGCCAAGTTTGAAAGTGTTTTGTTGAAAACTAAATGAAGATATAGCTCCAAGCACAAAGTAGTGAAATTTTACAGACTTTTGTATTTTGGGGGGCAAGTTCATGCAGAAAGAAGCCAGTTGGGTGTCAATGCATATTCCTTTACTGGTCCCAGTCAAAAGTTAATAAGAATGTGGAAGAATCTATTATTACAGGCACAAGGGTCTATTTCCTAAGTGACCTCTCATAAAATGTTCACACGGTACATTGCACACTGTACATTACATTCTACTGTAGAATTCCGAAAATAATGGTTCTCGCTAATATAAGGGCTACCTGAATGTAACATCTACTTTTTACCTTCCTATTAAATCCGGAAAGTAACGGCCCACTTAAAAGTAGTGGTCCTTGGAATCTAATGTAATGTTTAGAGCATTATTTTCAATCTACATAAAAAGCTATTTTAAAGAGTTTTAAACTTAACATATGCTGTAGCAGGAACCAAAAACATGTCTGTTTTTTCAATTTTTAGTAAATGTCAACTATCAGCCTATATACTAACAACATTATACAGTGCACAGCTTTTCCTCAGCCATAACAATTAAAGAGCACATCTCCCTACTGCAAAAAATAGGTTTCATGCATGTTTCTGTGCGTGTCAGCTACATGTACTTATTACCTGTATGTATCCGTGTGTTACTCACATTTATCCGTATGTTATTCATGTATTCTTACATTACCTGTATGTTACCCATATGTTACCCAAATGTACCTGTGTGGTGTTTTAGTGAAGATCACTCAGGACCTTATACAGTGTAGCCTGAATTTCAGCCATTTCTTCAAGTTCCAAACTCCCCAGAGAGGTCTGAATTAACCATCCACCAATGTTATCTCCTCTTGACATCACTACTAGACTTCAGCTGTACTTGATTGTCAAAACATTTGCATAATAAAATATTTTGTGTAGTTATGAGTAATTTTTGGTGGGAGTGTCATTTGATACTAGGTAGTTTAAGTGTTCACATGCTTGTGTGGAGTTTGAAATTTCGACAATCTTTATTGTAACAGGGAAATAAAATTATCCAGGGGACCCAAAATAAATTTTTTGGGGGGGTCACCCAGATTTAATCTCCATTTAGGGAATGCCTTAGTACTTAAAACAAGACTGATCACAAAAGTTGAAGTGTACAGTATTTACAATATTTTTATGATGACAGCTACAGCTGTATCACAAAATGAACTGTCTTACTGCTCACTTATGTACAGCTGTACTGCACTTGTGGAAATTCATCACGCAATATCGCAGCAGATTGCAAGGCAGAATTAAAAAATGATTTTCTTTGTTGGACAATAACAAACCGTAGTCTTTCACCTCTATTCAGGGGACACTTCTATTCAAGAGAAACTTACTTTGGTCGCGAGGTTGTCCCCTGAATGGGGATTTTTCTGACTTGAATCAAATTAGTAGCAGATCTTGTGCGTGCTACAGAGCACCATGGGTTTTACAATTTGGTTATCCATGCATCCAAGAAATTTTGGGTTGTGACAAAATCATCTGTCTGCGTGTACACTGTATGGCCTTACGTCCCCCTTTTATAATACAGATGTGAAATGTAACACCTACTAAGCCCAAGGCATACAATGGGAGTGTTTAACTTCATATTGGACATTCGTGTGATGTTCAATAATGACAGCTGTCAAAAAAGAATATTCACTGACCAGTGTCACATGACTGTATCATGGGCTCTGGTGTACAACTCAAGGGTTTTTTTTTTTCTTTTTTTTTTTTTTAAGTTCTTTGTGACCAGTCTTTTGTTTTCATTTGATCACAGGCTCATCAGGTCCATTTTTCAGGAGGAATTCAGTTTGCTTTTTCCTTATGAGTAAAGTTGAATAAAAACAAAATCAGAAAGATATTAGTTTGTCAAAAAAAAAATCCCACGAGAGCTTCGTTTTTGGCCTTAGCTATTTCTACAGGTGCACATATTACATGTATTTTGGTCAAGCAGGGTCCGAAATTAACTTTTTAATACGGCCGCCAACTGGCGATCAAGTATAAATTTTTGGTCGCCAAAGGGCAAACTGTGGTCGCCAAAAATTTCCCCTCCCTATTTTTCAAATAAAAATTTAAACACCAATTAAAAATGCATGGTATGGACGTTTTTATGGTCAAAAATTGCACTACTTTCGCTCCCAATACCAGAAAGCAACCGTACGTGTACGATTGAAGTCTTATTTTTTCCACAAATTACTTTTTGGAGATATAAAGCTGTCTGACCTAGAAGGTAGGAACAGAAAGCTGTCTGCCCATAACTGCACTGATCATATCAAAACTCTATTTTCTTCCGATAACTACCACGAAACACGAAACATTATCACTGTGACAGTACCAGGCCACAACTGCGCCACATTACTCGTACCAGTCCACAAAGTACATAACGTACTTACCGTATTTCAGCTGAAAACAACATAGCGGCTTGGAAACGTTCAACTCGTATTGATCGTAGCTGTTGTGGAGGTATTATTCCGATTATTACAGGAAGATTCGTTTCACTTTTAGTTAAAAAATATCACCAGGACAAAAAGTTAGACACCTGTTGGCAAATAGCTTCGAGGTTTCAATTCTTAATCAGTTTCTCCTAACCTTAAAGTCCACAATAACAACTAACTTTACAAGTCGCTAGCTGGCGACCGGCTATTAAACTCTGGTCGCCAGGACTAAATTTTTAGTCGCATTGGCGACCAGGAAGGCGCAATGTCGGACCCTGTCAAGGCATACTGTATTCCGTGCAATTTGCCACTGTAATGGAAGTGTGTGCCATGTAGACGGTGTTACTTAAAATTCACCCTTTCCTTACTAACTTTATTATTTTTCATAGATCTTCAAGAAATGCTAGTGAGAAAAAACGGAGAGATAAACTAAACATTTACATCAGTGAGCTAGCTGCAATGGTTCCATCATGCGCAAGTGCCCAGCGTAAACTCGACAAGACCACTGTTCTGAAAATGACAGTTAATTACATGAAAGTTAATAATGGTATGTTTACCTCATTGTTATTGTCTTTTTTTGCATGTTGTAGTTAGCACTTTTTCTGGGACTTTTGTGGGCTTAATGTATAGAAAACGTTTCATTTTTAGTTATAACATTACTGTGCAATATCTTTTTATTTTTCTTCGTGTTGTTAAAAAATGATAAGAGTAGCTCAATTCCTCTTCAATTCAGTCAAGACAAACATTATTAAGTGGGTCACTTTGTGTTTTGGAGCGTGTGGTGCTTTATTCATTTCAACCCATGTTACTTTTTCATAGCCTGCATAGCAGGCATTTGGAAGAAGTGGGTGAAAGAGAGAACGGGTGTGCGCGAGCGAGACACGCGAGGGTGAGGAAGAGCCTGCACGGAAGGCCCCTCGAAAATCGTTTCAACTCGCATTCTGTGAGTAAGGATATTTCCAATTGGTCGAGAGGCTCCAGAGGGAAAAATTAACCGCGTGCGGTGAGAAAACTGTCAATCAATAGTACATGGACAACATAGTGAAGATCTTACATTACACAAGTCTAGCTCCTGACACCACTAAATTGTATACAATCGAAGTTCAGGTCTCGGGGGTCACTTCAATCTGGTTTAATGTGACTATGTGTCTGTAATCTCAAAGAAAAGTTGGAGTGTTCAAATGGTATTCACGAGGGAAAGAATTGACATCAGATATTACGCATTAGCAGAACTGGCAAGAGACAAAAGATTTGTCAAATCGTTCCAATGAAGATCAGAGGAAACATTCTTTGCTCAGGAGAACTTGGCGGCTTGTGTTGTCGATGGTTCGTATACCATAAAAACTTGGACATGATTGATGAAATGAAACACTTACCAGGGGCATGAATTTGAAAAAACATTTCACTATTGTATTATTCGCCGTTTGGAGGCGACCTGAGGTCTGTTGTTTATGTCTCCTTACTGCAGTAGAAAGCATGTCAGTACAGTTTGTGTTCTGAAGTTTAGGTCCAGTTAGTAAGACATGTCTGCTCCAAAACCGGCTGCCACTTAGCACAGTAAAAGCAACGTTCATTTTCCACGTACGCTGTGATCGTTACTGTCTGTCCAGTTGTGGCTAAGTAAGCTCAGAAAACAATTTTTTTAGTTTTTTATAATACGCAGCATACATTCTTTAAAACATACCCAGTTTTGACTTTGTTATTTCCTATTTATTGTGCTTGTGGTTTAAAACAATTTAAAGCTGTGTGTTAACCATCAGTTTATTGCTCCATTGCTCTATAATCAGATAACCCAGCTGATCTTTATAACAGATATATTTGGACCGAAGATAAAATGTACAACGCTTTTTGGCTGCACGCTTTGTTTGTGCGAAGTCAGTCGTTTTCTGTCAAGACTTTTGACAGATCACGCAACGGCTTCCAGGTAATTGGAGAGGGAGCGGGAAACGATTTTCGGGGACCTTCCGTGCAGACGCCCCCTTGCGTGTCTCCTTCTCGCCTGCCCGTTTTTTCTTGTGCCTACTACTTCCAAACGTCTGCTACGCAGGCTAACTTTTTCATACATTTGTATCTTTAATATCATTTGAAAGAGAAAAAGAATTGGTGTTAGAATTTATTTTAGAAATATTCACTTTTCCAACCAAATATTGTGATTTCCTGTTTGTAAATCTGCTGGCCTGTTTCTATTAACCTTAATAGCTGTCACAGTGAGCCCTCGCTTGTGGATATTTAATTTCATTGCTTCCTTTTAGTGCTGAGAACAAATACAATGCTCTGTGTAAATTAATGCTTTGTGTTGATTATTAACTGAATAATTTGTACCTTTTTAAAACAGACTTGACTTTCTCCTTTCTTGGCAATGAAACTGGGCTGATGTCATCATTTTTATGTGGCGAAGAGCTTGGTGAACTTCTTGATAAGGTGAGTGTACTGCATCATTATTTTGACCTGTATACATCGTCCTTGTGTTTGTGTTAATGAGAATTTTCAGCAAGCTAAAATAAAATAATTGCAGAATTGGACTCTGCAGACAGATTTGGTGGCAAGGTCTAAGAGGCATGTACTGTAATTCTTGCTTTGATTTAAGTGTCATTCTTTCATAAATTTCTGCCACTTGCAGGCTATGAATGGCTTTCTGGTTGTCTTGTCCTCTAGTGGAGAGTTTGTGTTTATTTCGAACAGCATTGAAGATCTTCTTGGCTTGAAAAAGGTATGTACATAGTATTTATTATTAACAATTCACTGTGCACACACTGGGGTTGACACAGCTGTAGAATGAATAGCTGCGGCGAGGAATGGAGATACACAAGTTTGAGTTTATTCTACAAGTGTACCCAGTAAGTGTACAGCTGTATTTGGGTGCCATTAACAAACTAGATGTTTAAAGGTGGCTCAACCCACTTTTTCAGTAACCGTACATGTATATACTCTCTTCAAACAAGAAATTCAAAGATGCCTCAAACAAAGTACAAAGAATTACCCCATTATGTGGAGTACAATGTATATATTAGAGTTTCCGAAAAGGTCAGTGAGTTCTACATACAGCTATATCTATGGCAATATCATTTGAAATTGCACACTTTCTTCAATTAACTCTAATTCAAAAGAAGTTGTTTGGTCCTCCACAAAGGAACATTAGTGTTATTCATAAACAACGGCAGTCCTATTCAGGACTACATTTACCCAGACGATCATACTCAGCCTACTTATGATTAGTGTTATTATCATTATCTTCATCATTATTATTATTATTATATTTTTTTGTCATTATCATTATCATTTTTATCAGCTTTATTATTATTTTTATTGTCATTATTATTATTGTTATAATTATTATTATTATTACATGGTTCATAAATCTTTAAAAGGTCTTGAATTTTAGTAATCGTCTTCAAAAGTACTTGAAAAGGTCTTGAGAAGTCCTTGAAATTCACTACTTTTTCATGCCACAACAGTTTCAGTGAAGTTAGATTATTTCGCCAAGTAAAATTTGGCTCATCCTTAGTGTAATGACCTGTTAAACTCTTGAGTAACGTAAAAACATTTTTGTGCATAAACAATGTTTTATTTCTTTTCCTTTATTTCAAATGCAATTTCTGTACCTCAGATGCAACTACAAGCTATACCCAGTGACTGGTGCCATTTTGCTAAGTGTTGTCATGGAAAGACAGTAGTATAAGAAAATGTGATCAGCCATGGCTGAACAAGTAAAAATCGTAAATGGCGCTATTAAGTGTTTTAGCCAATAAGGTGTTCAAAAAGGGGTTATAGAATGCTGACTTATTGGACAATTTTTAGTCCTTGAAAACTGTAATATTTGTCCTTGAAAAGTCTTTGAAATTTGTTTGTCTGAAGTGGTACAAAGCATGTATTATTATTATTATTATTATTATTATTACTATTATTATTATTGTTGTTGTTGTTGTTGTTGTTGTGTTGATGATGATTATTATTATTATTGTAAATTGTAATTATTATTATTATTATAATAATTATAATCAAACAGGAAGACCTACTTGGTAAGAAGATCTTTAACGTAGTCCATCCGGATGACAGGGAGCGGATAATGAGGGAGTTCGTTACAGGAGGCAAAAGTTATTTAACTTCACCAACGGACGAGATGGGTACGTGTATTGTCCTAAGCGCTTGTTTAAACTGAACGGTGCCCATGAGAAACCATAGTTTTAGACAGGATTTAGCCAGGTTTGACTGTTCTCATGCCGAGGTCAAATATGATCCTTCTATGGGAGTAAACAATCATGGATGCCCGTCTTGAGTAGCCTGAGAAAATAGCCCGCGATATTTCACGACGCCACCAACAACGATTTTCCCGGCGAAATGACGTAAAGGGAACGAGCCTAGAAATTCCATTCTGATGACGTGTCACTACCCAGATCTGGGTGTTACTTCTGATTGGTTGAAGCAAATATTAAAAAAAAACAGTGGCCCTTTCTACCGATACGGCGGCCATATTGAATTAATTATGGGATGCCCAGAGAGCATGAACACGATCCGTTATACTCGCTTAGTATTAGAAATATGGTCTTTCACTGTATACATCTGTATTTCTCGTGAAAAAGGCTGTACAACGTTCTTTTTTCCCATTTCAATCTTTTTCTAGGAAAACTTTCAGAAAAAATGCACTGAAAGGCGCGCGTTAGTACTAAGCAAATGTATCGGAATGTGCTCATGCCAATATGGCCGCCGTATCGGTGAAAAGGTCAGGGGCACCCAACGGCAATTTTCGGGAAAATATCTGTTCGGAAGACGATTTGAGAACTAGAATTTTCGGAACATTTTTTGGAAAATTTCTTGCTTGCCTGCCTCTCCTAGGATTTTCGAACATCTACAAAATGGTATAATTACCCATTTTAAACGGATATTTACCCTAAAAAAGGCCACCTAGAATTTTCGGGAGCCTTTTCCTGGCTGAAATTTTCGAAAAGGTAAGTTTTGATCCCTATAATTTTCGGATCACTAGACTTTCAGCTAGGAAATCCGAACAGATGAAAAGTTTTTAGGGGATAAAAATATGCCTATATCTACCGTTTAAATACTAAAATACGTTCAAAAATGCTATGTTAAGTGGTTTTGAACTATATCCTCGTTGGGTGCCCCTGAAAGGTCTGTTGAAAAAAGAAAAGATAAAAGAAAAGCATACAGTAACTTAAGCTGTAAAATCATTTTAAGTAAGAAATGGCCCCCAAAGATGTTTCGACGCCAGCTTTAATTAATACAAGTGTAAGTTATGTTCAAGTCAAAACATTTTAATAAATATGTAGAAAAATACTCAAAGAACATTTAACCTACAGGGAATACCAGCTTAGCTTGTCCCCTACCAACGAAGAGCTTAGCCCGTATCATCTCTTCAAAGCATCCATCTCGGGTTACATTAGACTTCCGCATGTTTGTACATGGGAAAGATGGCGAACCTGCCGGGGATGAAAACATTCATTGTGTTGGCTTTTTTGACCACTGGATGAAAAAGGTGTCCGACCATGGAAAGAGAAAAGGTGAGCTATAACACTTTTGGCCCTCGGGCTCAAAATAACGGTTGGTCAACGGACAATGTCTGGCCAAGATGGCCAATTGTCAGGACAAAAGTTCGATTTTCCGGTCATTTTGACCGGACATGAAATAAGTGACCGAGAAAAAAATATATTTTTACACTGCTGGGTTTCAAGAGGACAAGCATCTTTTTTTCTCTTAATGTTTGTGCTTGTTAGGCTTGTACGTTCGACCTAGTATTGTCTTGTTTATAAAATTTTGACCGGTCAGAAGAAGGGTTTGACCGAGCTAAAATTTCTTTGGTCGGTCAACATGATCGGCAACAGTTCCAAATTTATTTTGAGCCTTGGGCCCGGCAAACCCATCCAGGCAGTTGCGCCCTTGTTCATTTTGTCAGTTCACCGGTTAACAACGGACTTCTATCCGACAAAAAACAGTGACCTGGTCGGAAATGTGTCCTTTCTAAAGATAAATATTGTTTCAGACCTGTTTGTATACAGAGCTTGGAAGGGACTGGTGGAGAGCATGGTCATTTATTACGTTCTTGTATTACACGGGTCGCGGGTCACGGGTCGGGTTGTATCACAAGTGGTGGTCGCGCATGGAGTTTCGACTATTAAAGTCATGTGTTCCAATTCTGTCTGTAATAATAGTCATGATTAAACAAATCAGACACCTGCTTGTTTTATCGCAAGCATGATCGCAAACCGAATTGGACCCTGCTCGTTTATACTATCATTTACTTACTCATTAAAGCGATTATTGTTGGCAGGTACGCAAGGCGCGAAACAGGGTACCCAGGCGATTACACCCGCTGGGGATTCGGTGGAATCTCTCTACATGGTTGGGGTAGCGGTGATAGCTCGCCCCAGTTTCTCCAGAGCAGTAGAGTGTGAGGCTGGGGAAGATGAGTTTGTATCACGCCACAGTCTTGATGGAAAATTCCTTTTTATTGATCCCAAGTGAGTTTGAACGAAGGAATTTCTCCCATGGTCTTCATAGTTAAAAACGTCAGCAGTTATCTGCCAGATAAGAAATATAAGTTTAGTCCTCCCTTAACTCCCTTGCTCTGCAATGTTTTAAAGGAAGGCAAAGACCAAACTGTCGGCCTGTCTAAAGCCACGATTATTGTGACTGTTTTGTTTATTGAAGGGCGCCCACGGAAATAACAGTGCAGTTTGTTTGCTGCCAAATTTCCAAAAACCAAATATTATACAACAACACTTTTCAATTACTTAATCTGTAAAAGACCACAGAAATGACGTCGACATGTTCAAAACATTTGCTATGAAACCTTTCTACTGCGGCTCTGTTTTACTACTTGTTTTGATCATTTTACGCCATTTCTATGGTCATTCAGAGTATGGAAATGTTAAATTGGTTTCTTTTTATTAACTACCCTTATCCCACACTGACTGACTGCTTTGTCGTCTTTGATCTTGCTGTCCTTTTGGACAGAGGGGGGATGTGTTAGTACAGCCCTTTTCGAAAGCAGTGAAGTCGATTTCCGTCTTGTCAAGGGGAATCCCCATAATTATCGTACTCAGTTAATTTAGGGCCTGTTTACATGGAGGTGGGGGATCCCAGGTAGGTGAGGTAACCCGCCTGTCCGTATAATCTCTCGTTTAATTTGACCACATTTACCCGCCACATGTTACCTCACCAATCTGGGCTCCCCCACTTCTATGTAAACAGGCCCTTAAACATCTGCTCGAGGGCGTAAATGTGGTTGTTATTTCGCCCCTTGTAACTTAATCCAAGACAGTTGTTGGTTCTTTAATCCATAACAAGGATTCCGGATTCCAGATACTGGATTTCGGATTCTTGTACAGCATCTTTTAGTGGAATTTGGATTCCACATTCAATTGTTAGCGAGATTCCAGATTCCGCGAATATAATTTTCATGGACTTAGGGCGAGTTATTGTTGTGCAAGATTGCATCCTTGTCGACTTGATTCTACAGCTGCGCAGCTACATCCTATGCTTTCTTTACTAAGAATGCATTTTTTCCCTCTCTTAGGTCGATATCAATCACAGGATACCTTCCTTTTGAAGTTCTGGGTGCCTCGGTTTATAATTACGTTCACCATGATGACATGGCAGTTTATTCAAAAGCTCACGAATTACGTAAGTTGAACTTACAGTATACTCTCTTTCCGCAGTGAAATGAGGGGAAAGGCAGGGCAATCCCTCCCTCCATACTTACCCCTCATGGGACCGCGGATATACCTTATTTCCACGGATAAGCGCCCACCTCCTAGGTCAAAATATCACACAAGCCCTGCCCCACTCTCGTATAAGCGCCCCCTCCCCATACCTTATACTTTGTTAAATATTAGGGATACAAAGAAAACCTGTTTCTATTGCGACTTTTATAACTTTTTAAACTTCAACTACAATTTTATACCGATACAGCTCTTCCCCGAATAAGCCTCCACCTCCCGGAGGTCAAAATATCGCGCAAGTCCCCCTCTTGTATAAGCGCCCCCTTCCCCTACCTTATATTTCGTTAAATAGTAGGGATACAAGGAAAGCCTGCTTCTCTTGCCACTTTATTTTTAACTTTTTAAACCGATACAGTTCCGTGTAAAGTTTATATTAAGACTACGGCACGGTTGATTACCAACCCCTGTTTTATCAAACGAAAGATATCAATACACCAAATTGACATCACGTTTATACGTGGATTATGTTTTAGTTTTTGTTTTTGTTAAGATTTATCAAAAATGAAGTTGCACTAGTTCGTTGAAAGGAAAACTTAGTAAGTAACCTTGTCGATTAAGTGCCCTCGCTCCAATACTCACGCTCCCCTCCTTTTAGAAGAAAACTTTAAGGAAGAGCCGGTGCGCTTATTCCAGGAAATACGGCACGTAATTTTCTTCCCCTCTTCTCTAAATTTTCTGGAGAGCCCTGCCATACCATTGTCCCGATTGTCCGAATTTATTTCGAGACGACTCGGGCGATGGACACAATCCAGCCGACACCATGGAGACCAGGCTTGACAGGCGCTACTCACGGCTGTTCACTTTGCAGTTATGGAGTACGGAGAAAGTAAAACGGATTGTTACCGCATGATGATCAAGAGTGGACAGTATCTCTGGGCCAAGACTAGAAGTTATATTTCCTTCAATCACTGGAACTCCAAACCTGAGATCTACTGTAGTACTACTAAAATCATCAGGTTTGTGGTAGTTGTAACCCCAGACTTCTAACAGTCCCAAATTTTCCCGTCGGAATCGAGCACCTACCCTGACGGGTGATCATCTTAGTTTCAAATGTACGAGTCTTGCTTGAGGATGAGTATCAAATCTACTTATGATACCGGGACGGTTTAGGAGGAGGCTATAAACCCTCCGCCCGCCCCCTTGTTACATTTGAAACCAAGATGGCCGCCCGAAACATTAAGCGTGGCGGTTTTACGGAAAAATAGAGTATTGTGAACAGTTGATTGCAAGCCTAGAGCCCTCTATACATGCAAGTACCGTCAATCCTCTATTAAGCTAGCCCTTTTCAGGTGAAGAAAGTAATATAGAGCCGTAAGAGAGGTAACTCGGCTGACCATACGCCGGTGTAATGTAAACTTTCTCTTACTCAGTCTACATTTTGTCGCCAGTGCTGCTGAAGGTGCAAAATCACTTAAAGATCGAGAAGTTGCAATTGAAAGAATCAGTCAAGAAAAGCGTCCTTCAGTCTTTGCTCTTCGTTCAGCGCCGATAAAGTCCCCACAAGAGGCAAACGCCATGGTTTTAGCCAAATGGGCAGCAGATGAGAACAACGTCGTAGCCTCAGCGGACGAGGAAGATTTAATGGAGAATCCCGTAGGGAATCAGGGGGCCCTGATGGCTGGGGGCACAGGTAAGCCTAATACAGTATAGACCCCAATAACTCGAACTCGGATAACTTGAACTCGATAACTCGAACTCGGATAGCTCGAATTCCCCGCTAACTCGAACTAAATTCCCTTGCACTTTATGAAAAATTCACTGAAATTTCAGACCCCGATAACTCGAATTCTGGCTCTTTTAACTCCACTCGGATGCATTCCCATGAGCTCTTCTTTTGTGTAATAGGTAAAAACACAAAAACAATGTGTAAACATGGTTGTGGCGTCAGGATGTTTTGCTTTTCGCGCTTATCACGCAAGCACGAATTTGAAAAAGTTTTCGAGTTCAAAACTCGACAAGTTTACTTTATTTACCCATTCCTCCGTCGGCTGAAACTTGGAAAATCGTTACAAAGAAGGTATGTCAATCTATTTTCGCTTAAGCCGACAGTTTAAGCTAGAAAAATCCGTATTTTGAATAGCATCTTTTTGCAAAACAAGAACTGATTACGCGTGCCATAACAAAGAGTTTTGAGTTTTTTCGCGGGAAAGTTATTTTATAAAAGCAATATAAAACTTTTTTCCTGCGTTTGCATAGCCTGATATAAACACTCGAGGGGTAGGGAGAATTCTCGACAGTAATTCTTCCAACCCCTCTGGTGTGTATATCAGGCTATGCAAACACGGAAAACGTTTTCTGTTGCTTAAATATATATATATATTTTTCTTTGTGTCATATAATAGGCGAAGCTAATAAAATTTTCACTCTAAAATTTTCATGAAGGTGAGAGTCTTTCAGTCCCCCCCTGTGACACGCACAGCATCAGCGAGATTCAAGACAACGGCAGCGAAAGTAATGCTAAGGAAACCAGGGACAGTGGTCAAGAAGAGTCGTTTGTACGTACACGTATTCTTTTTTTTTCGGTCGATATTAAATGTACCTTTTTGTATGTTGGTGTATATTAGACGTGCTTTGTTTCGTTTTGGTTGTTAACCAGTTAAAGAAACGTTTTACAATTTCCTAGTTAAAGTAACGTAACCGGGCTAACTGAACAAAAATGATGCGAGTTCATTTTAGGGTGTGTTACTGGGCGAGTGTCAATCAACCTGTTTGTTTGTTTTTTGTTTTTATTTGTTTGTTTGTTTGTTTTTTCCAACAAAATGGCGCCTAAAGTTATTGTACAGACTCAGTTTTCAATATTAGTGTGACATGGAAATGTTTTTTGTCGCACAGGAACTTCCCTCCACCGTTGAAGAACTCGAAGATTTCAGGGAGGCCCAGCGTCTTCTCCAAAATCAGCTGCTTGAGAAGCATACTGTCCTGATGAAAGCCATCTCCAAACAGAAATCACAGCTACAGGAAATTCAGCAGCAGATGATACTTAATCTCCAATCGCAACTTTATGTAGACCCAGTCAAACTCCAAGAAACATGTTCTGGCTACATAAAACGAAATAAAGACTTAACTGAAAAACGTGAAGAGCAGGAACACACGCTCAAATCGATTACTCATTCTCTGGAAGAGCAAATGAGAAGCGCTGACCTCCAGTACAAGCGTCATTATGAGAAGCTCTTGGACCGGAGAACAGATGAGCTGAAAGAAGCAGGCTCCAGCGTACAACCCAACACGCTGCAACGGTCAGAGCTTGTCACAAACCAGGCTTTGAGCACAGCTGCTGACTTCTCCGTTTTGACGGGGAACGACAGACAACAACAGCAGCAGCAGCAACAAGCTCCAATCGATTCTCCACTGCAGTTAATGTCAATGGACTCTCCTTTGGACCTGCAGCAACAAGCTCACATCGAGGACATTCAAGGCAACATATCAGGTTCAAAAAGGAGTTTACCCAATAACCGAGATTCAAGAGGCCAAAAAGTCATGCTTCTTGGCTCTAGTTCGAGGCCAATATGGCCACAATCAGTTGCCACAGAAACACGACCAGAGCAAAGACTGCAGCAACAGCAATCTTCTTTGGCTGCGGCGCCGTTAGTACATCCAAGTAGAACAAACCAAGGTGCGGGTCAACCGTTTTTGCGTGCAAATCAACGCACCGCAACTGCAACCGAGACAACGAATGTTCTGTGCACACCATTGCCAGCCTATCCTGGCCCATCCCAAGACCCATCACGTAACAGTGATATTCAGTCGAATCCGTCCATGCACGGACAAGTACCAATTCAATCGCAATACGCACTCGGTGCTGCAGATGTTCCCCAGTCCCGTCAAATGTATGCCACTTCGCAACAGATGATTGGCCTTCCTCAGCAAAACTCTGAAATCGCCGCCCTGAATGCTGGCGTTTTTCAAACACAACCTATTCAAAGCGCTATGGCCCAACTAGCAACAGGCCAACTGTCACAATCTGCAGCAACGTCGCTTAACCTACTTGGTCAGCAACAGCAGCAGCAAAGTTCGCAAGTGAATGCGGCTGTCGCTCAGAGCATCACGCAGCTTCTAACAGATTCCTCACAGAACCAGCAGCTCGTGCAGGTGTTGTTAAGTGTGTTGTCCATGCTTCAGAGTCAGCCACAACTGGCGGTGTCATTGTCAACACTACTTAAACAAGTCCAAGGTAATCAACAGGAACCGCAAGTGGGAGTTCCGTGCGCCGCCCCAACGCAGCCTTTGCAGCCGTCTTCGGCGCAAATTGCAGTTGGACCGGGTGGCCAGGGACAGCTTCAGAGTGCATCCCAACCTACTTATGCTTACAACAGTGAGAGCACTTTCCAGCGGCAGCAGCGCCAACCGTCAGTGCTTCCGAATCAGTGGAGGACTGCACAACAGCAGCAGCAGCCACATCAGCATCAACGGCAGCCGCAGCAACAGCATTTGTTGCAACAGCAGCAACAGCAGCAGCAGCAAGTACCCGGCTTAGTGCAGCATTCACGACGAGGAATGCCCCGTGTGACTTCGACCACTACAAGCTACAGCGTTGCTTTACAACGACAACAACAACAGCAGCAGCAGCAGCAGCAACAACAACAACAACAACGACAGCAGCAGCAGCAACAGCAGCAGCAGCAGCAGCAGCAGCAGATGGACCAACGACTCTCCAGGAATGCCTCCTTTTCCAGTCTGACAGGATCGCCGATTCCATCGTCATCAAACTCTCCCTCCCCACTCAACTTTATGTCCTATGGGAGCTTGCCTTCCACATCGATGCGGCCTCGAATGGGATCTGCGCACGACCTCAACACAACGGGCAAGGGCCCAAAGTCTAAGAGTGACTACTTCTCAAACTTTTCCTCGGACGAGTTAAGCTCCATGATGTTAACCGTGTCAAGTGGGATGCCCACCAACAGCGGCGCTTCCAACTCCCCTGCATCAAAAGAGGAGAAGAAACTTCAAGAGGAAGAACTTCTTTATAATCCCCTCCTCTCACAGCAACAGGAACTGTTGCAGTTGCACCAGGTTCGTTCACTCTTCGTTTACGTTTTTTTTTTTTTTCATTTGTTTCACTCCCTCGTTGTTTTGTTGTTGTGGTGGCTTCGTTGGTTCTCAATTTGTCCAAGTTTACAGGAATGAATTTAATTTAAACGTGTTAATAGTCAGTTGTTTCACTGCTTTTGTAGGAAGATGAAGCGTTGCTTGTAAATGCGACTAAAACTGATCGTTCAGCCCTCCACCAAACCACTACTGTATAACCGAGTAGTTATTGCCTCTTAACCATTCAGTGCCTCTGCTAATGTGTTGGTGCTCTTATTTTAAGATTGTACATGAAAACTTCAAGTTGTTCATCAGGGCCCTGTTCCTGAAAGGTTGATTTGCGCTTATCTATGATTGAAATTGTGTTCCGTTGTTGTATTTTACCCTCCTATTTATTGCTTACACTAACACTGTATCTCGGGGTAAAGGCTCAACAGTATTTTTTAACCTCAAATTGCATGTTCTTCGACAAAAAAACCTTGCTCAAAATGTTAGCTTAATCCTGGGATAAACATGGCCATCTTTTGAGGAACCGGGCCTGGACTTCAAACAAAGGCCGAAAGACTTACGTCATTATTACAACCATCATCTTTATTACCGTTATTGTTATTATGAATATCATTATTCTCCTTTTTAGGAGCAAAGACGACAACTTCTAGTTCAGCAGCAAGAGCAAAGACTAGCGATGTTTGAGGAGCAAAGAAAGAGAGAAGTTGCAGCTGCGACGGGGCAACAACAGCAACATACGGCAGCCTCTAGGGAACCTCCGCCTTCCTACAATACGGATGGAGGACTGCGGGCTATGCTGTCCCAGAGTGCAACGCAAGGATCTTCCCGACAGCCAGGTAACCTTCGCAAAGACTTCTTTGACTGTTACTATAGGGGAATAGAAGGGGAAAAATTGGCCAATAGCTGACTGGCGTTCCCCAGTAACGATACCAAAGACAATTGCTGCACTCATGTCGGCTCCAGTTCCCTTCACGTCGCTTAATTGGTGCATTCGACCGTAAGCAATTCATATGTTCTCTCTTTTATTAGGTGATCAAGACACAGGCGCCTCGTTTTCAGGTTGGTCTGAAACCAATTACCCGTTGGGCGAAGAGGAAGAACAGGTGCTAAACCTTCTGTTAGCCGAGTCAACCTCATTCGATCCCTTACTTGACAATATAGAATGGGGAGACGACGCCTATAGCAGCGAAGTGAACCTAAATCCTGACTAAAGCCTTCAAATACGTACACATTAGGTGCTCGTTCGTGGAATGGTGTACTCATCGTAGAGTAGCTCGTACTCGTGACTCGCGGATGGCGAAGGCCTCGCGATGCCATGCCTTGGGCGTTGTTACACTATGGACGCGCAATTGCGTGCTCAAGAGACTTGAGTTGTCTTAAGTTCAAAGAACAGTTTAACTGCAATGGAACGTTTGCCGACAGTTTTACACGATAGAATAGGTACAGTAAGGAAACTAAATATTAGGAGCCCAGGCTTTGAGTGTCGGGTTTTTAAGGTAAAAGTAGCTGACTGTTCCATTTTTTTATGGGGTAACGTGTGTACCTAGCGTTTCAGGGGTACACAGGACACTGCCTCTTCCAAGAGGTTTTTAAATACCAAGAATGGGAAACCGTTGTCGTTTGAAAATCATAAACCATAAACGGTGAAAACCTGAGCTTTATGGGAAGAGTTGATACAGTAAGTTCATTTTAACAATCACCGAGTGTCGAGCTAGCTATTTTTCTCAGTCACTATAATATTCTTTCAAGCGACAACGTTTTCTCAGCTCCTGTTTTGAATATCACAAAGAATGGTTTATGCCCGGTTCATATTTCGTGCCTCTGCAGTGCCAAACCTAAGTTGTTCTGTGGAACTCAAAATTCAAAACTGATTCAAGAATTAAGTTCGGCATAGCGGAAGCACGACCCATGAACTGGGCCTTACGTTTTTATGGTATTATTTTTACTGGAATAATCTCTGGAGCATTTGGAGAAAAAAACCTGAGTATATCAACGGGATAACAGTTGCGATAGGCATTTGATGTGAACAAATAGGTAGTAGGTGTAGAAGCGGATTTTCCAACGAGAACATGCATTTTATATTATTGCGTGATAATACTGTCAACTCAATCTCAGTGGACACTTTTGCAAAACTGATACCTAGGATACTTACCATTTACACTAGCCACGCAGGTCGAAGCTGAACAGACTAATTGCATGGCCTCAAATCACAACTCGTGTTTTCTGAAGCTTCGCAAACGGAATTGCGCGAACCCTAGCCTGTGATTTTCCAACCGGAAATTCCGGTTTTCCTGTGTAAATGGATGTATTCCTAGAGTCTGTCCTCCCTGGTCGATCCCTAGCTTTTTCCAGTCTTTTTCTATGCCTGTATATTGGCCTTTTTGAGGCAGCCCATGACAGTGCGTCGGGTTTGTGTAGAATTGCACTATAAGACTGTCTTGGGGACGAATTTCGACCCGGTTTTCCACGCAACGTTGTAATAGCCAATAAAAATGTCGTAGCGAGTAGTTTGACACAACACCGACCCAGTCTCGCACCCAACCTCACGGCCAAGTACGCGGATTACTCTCTTAGAACAACACTTAGTCATGTACCAGTCCCTACCGTGTCCACCATTGGAAGAGTTTTACACTTTATGGTATGCAGCGTAATGTCTTTCACCGGGTTCCTATATCATTCACAGTCTTAAATTCTTGAAAAAGTCTTAAAAATTTCAAATCAGTTTTCCAGACTTGGAAATAAAAAACAGTTTAAAAACTAAAGAGTCTGGAAAAAGCGGTAAAAAGTCTCGAAGTTTTGATCCGAAAATCTCTACGAACCCTGATAATAGGAATTCCCCCCTGCTTTCTAGATCTCTGGCTCCCCATGCGTCGGCCGAAAAAGGTTTTCCTGCTAAGCTTTGAAGGGAAACTGCTGTTTTTTGTGCATTTCAACTTATTACCTAACTTGGGCAAAAGCTTTCAAAACTCTTCCTATTAGTTTTTAATCTTTAAATGCGTTTTACGCAGTCACTCAAAGCAGCCGATCCCATTTTCAATAATCGGGGCGGACATGTTTCAGTCGACATTTTTATAATAAATATAAATATTATGATATACATATACCCCTCGAATGAGTTATACATTAGTTTTGTAAAACTTGGACCGCAAAAACGCGATCCCTTTGAGATGGTAAGAAATACCCATAATAAATAAACAGAATAACAGCATCTTTATGAAGCTTGTTCTTAGCAAACGATAATAAATTAAAATGCCTGCATGCTGAAGTAATCGATTGTGATGTGAAAGAATTATTAAAAATGGAAATGCAAAGAAGAAGGCGCAATTATTTTTGCAGTTTTTTTAGTTTTTTGGTTTTTTTGGTTTTTTGTTTTTTGTTTTTTTTTTTTTGTTCCTTTTTTCACAAATCTCTTCAACAATATCTGGCTTCGCTTTAGACAATAGATAGAAAATAAAGTTCTTTTTAGTCTCAACCTTCAACGTTGCAACTATATCAGCAACACCAACGGATCCGAGTCTCCAAACAAACTGGCCTAATAAGTTTTTGAACGAGGAAGTGCTTCAGTAAGGGCGAAACAGCTGTCCGCGCCCGCTTTCTGGAAATTGTTTACCTCAGTTAATTACTGTAAAACTGACCTGTATTAAGCGGTCGCGGTCCCTTTTTCTGGGTTCCCAACGAGTTATTTTTATATTGCCTTCACCTCTACTTAACGGCGACTTTGTCAAGATGATATTGCAATACATTAGCCTGTTCCAAGCGTTCAGATAGCAGAGGGCGGCGTTCAGATGGTGGGGAGCGAGTTTAATCGTACGCGGAGAAAACGAGAGCAAACAACGAGGGAGACTGGGACCTTTTTCATCCGGTTTTTAGTCGTGTTTTTTTTTCTGTTTGTTTGTTTGTTTTTCTCGTCAATTTTTTTCGCCCGCGTTCTACTACCTAAAGGCCTGGAACAGGCTAGCAACAGACATTTAGCGAAGGAACATTCTCATCGGGCCTATATTGAAGGAGATACAGCCATTCAAAAACTCCAAAATTCACCAAGAAATTACACACTTCCGGACGGTGCGTCCGGTAATCCATAAATCTCTCAGACATTTTTTAGTTTTTTTTTTTTAATATTATCTCAATAATAGCCCGATTGACACCAAACTAAGATTTTTGCTAACCTCAATGCACTCTTTCTGACTGTATGGGTCTTGAGTTGTGTGTCCCTTAACCCTCGGACGTACAGGGCGGGGGGTGGATGCCTGCCCTCCCCCTCCCCGTAAGGTTTTTGTGCGTTTTTTCCTATAGGATAAAACATCAGCACCTGACGTTTTCAGTAGCTGTTCGTTCATCCCTTGCGCACTTTTTGAAGCAAGTTCAGTGATGGTCACTTGCTATGGTTACGAGATATGACGTCATAAATAGCAGGTGGTTAAGCCATTTTGGGATTAAAGTACATGTTTTTTTCAACTTCTTTCAACAATAAAAGTAAATCTTGTGGCTAAAATCATGCATGCAAAGTGCTAATTTATGTGTTATTTTTCATGTGAAGCACAAAATATTACTATTCAGCTCTTGGTTTAAACCTTATTTCTAATTCTTGGCAAAATTCGAGATGGCCACAATTGTTGGTGACGTCACAGGCCTCCAGCAGCGCTACCATCCATAAAATATTCCTCATCTTGTTAAGAAGATCAATGGCTTTCCACTAAGGGTAAAATCGTTTCGAAATACTGCATCAAATCAAAAACTCCGCGGAGGGGTTCCATCCACCGCCCCCCCCCGCCCCCCCTCCCCTTGTACCGCGGTGGGGGTATGAATTTGCGTGTACGTTCGAGGGTTAAAAAGACTTAACGGATTCGTGCCCGGCCTTGCTCGGTTTGAAACAAGGCCATAAGAACGGTAAACGATCCAGGAGTCATAAAAACGCATTATTCACATCAGATGATAGGAGGCTATGCTGCCGATAAGTTAAGATTACTATAAGTACTTCCTTCACGGCGAGGGATCGTCTTAATGAACTACTATAGTTGTCAGAGGCCACTTCCTTTTATACCTTGGGGTGCAATCTTAATTTCCTTTGGTCTTCAGGTGTGGTGGTGTATGATTGAACCAAATATTAATATAAAACAACAACATACTGACTTGAACGGTGAATGGCGAAGGTGTTGAGTTTTTTCTGACATTTATGGTGCATTTACTGGGATACTATACAAAATCCGAAGTTGGGAGAAACACATTGAAAATATATGCTAAACTGAAAAAAAGAACACTGCCTAGCAGGAGAGAAGTACTCGGCGAAGATGTCTATTTGACTACTTCAGTGTAGCTTTATAGTTCGCTGTTATTCTGTCCATTGCTTCTTATCTGGGCTGGCAGTATAAATTGGTTTCAATTCAAACACGCGCCTACGACACTTCTGCCGATTTTAGGCTGAAAATATTCTAGTATTATTCTTACTTTATAGCTCATGACATTTCCGTTTTAGACTATACTGGGGGTATCAGTTATAGCGTAGTTCATGTTTTCTCGTTTTGTTGCCTAGAGAATGGAATAAGTGGAAAACATATAATTGTATTGTATTTACAGCTTTTGAACACAAAAACATATCCTTTCCAATATCTCAGTCTGGGGTTTATTCTTAAAATATTCTTAAAATTTTGCGAATTTCAGCCTCGATATTCTTAAAAAATATATCCTTATAGAAAAAAAAGAGTGTATCATATTTAGTTGTTGGCTAATTTGTAATGGTCGGAATTGAGTGGAGTGCAATTTTGGTCTGAAATCATACGGATGATTTCAAACCACAAGATTTGAAATCAAAAATATTATTTCAGACCGGAATTCTACGACGCGAAGTTCAATTACATTTCATTGATCAAGTAGCCGGTTTGTTGAAAAGCGGAAACAAACAGGCTTTTACAACTTGTTTTGTATTCGAAACAGTGAAAAGATGCGATATACACTCTTTTTTTTTATAAGAATATTGTTTTTCCGGCCCAGGCTGAATATTCTTATTTTTCTGCCGATTTTAGGCTGAAAATATTCTTGAATTATTCTTAAATTAAAGCTTATGACATTTCCGTTTTAGAATTTATTGGGGTATATCTATATATATTACATGTACCGTTCATCGAACTGACATTAGCGTTGAACATTTTGCTATAGCTAGTGCAGGTTTTTTCGTTTTGTTGGCTAGTTTCGCCGTTCAGAGAAAGGAATAATTTTATACGGTGAAGTTAAAAACATTTGTATTGTATTTACAGATGTTTCAACACACAAAATTATATCTATCCTTTTCAAAATCTCAGCCTTGGCTTTATTCTTAAAATATTCTTAATATTTCGCAAATTTCAGCCTCGATATTCTTATAAAATATATTCTTATAAAAAAAAAAGAGTGTAGAGCAAAAAATGGTGCGATCTAGAACGTGAATGACTCGATTTAGAACAGATCTGATTTAGAGCAAAACATAGTGTGATAAGAGGATATTTTAAATCACAGTGCTGAGAGCCAATCAGATTGCAGGGATCACCATTGATTACAAAATGGATATAACTTGAAGAATAACTTGAAAGAGATCGTGACTCTGGCCTAATAGATAATATACATGTACTTAAGAGTTAGTAACATTAACCGCAAACACATTACAGCTATAATGAGGTTGTCCGTTGTTAATTCTTTTTAATTGACTTCCAAAAACGTGAGAGGTGAAAAGAGAAGCGGCTAAGGTCGTTTAACCTAAGTTAAACAAGTCGGCACCACCAAAATAAGTAAAAAATATTATCTAACGGCAGCTTTACTAGTTCTCTAAGTTATGAGCAAAATCTTGAGTAAACCGCAAACGGAAGCACATTTTCACGTAGCAGTCGCACATTACAGGAAGTCATACAAATATTGCCTAGGATCATCCTTTTCCAAACTGGAAAATGGGCGGCGTGACATTCAATATCAAGTTTTCATTGGTCGTCTAAATGAGGAAAACTTGCCTTGTCATGAAAAAAGAAATCAGTTTAATATTTACAAGAACGAGGACTCCTTGCAAGCAAGGCTTTATTGTTCTTTACTCCGATGTACGAAACATTTCAACCGAGACCTGTTAAAAAATGTCTGTACGGGCAGTCAGCTAAAGTTCCGAGAGGTATATATTCCCCAATATGATGGACCATATAGGTGTGTGCAGCCCCAAAGGGTATGGTTTTTCGTTTTGGTCTAAAAACGGGTACTATACTATGGCCTTTTATTGCCCATTTTGGTTTTCAACGAAGCCACGAGAGAGTCTGTCGGGGGCAAGGGTGGCGCAGTGGTGAGAGCACTCGCCTCCCAGCAATGTGGCCCGGGTTCAAATCCCGGCGTCGACGCCATATGTGGGTTGAGCTCCTGGTTTGTTGTCAGGAGCCCATCACCCTTTGTTGTTGGTTCTTTCCCTTGCTCCGAGAGGTTTTTCTCCGGTGCTCCAGTTTTCCCCTCTCCTCAAAAACTAGCCTGCGTCGCAGACGCTCTATTAAAACCTTCTGTATATAGCGTCTGCGAATTAGTGCACAATATCGTGTTCGAATCCCGTAGAGTCGCAAAGAAATATGTCGGCGTTATTGATTGGCTATTTTCTTTCGCAGTTTGTGATTAGTCCGATTTGAATTAAGCGTTGACAGGCCAAACATGACTCATAGCTCGTGACCAGAGAGATTGAGCTCGTGATAGTGTGAAACGTGACTTTAGAGACCCCTAGAGTAGCTTGAACAAACAGATGTTTTTCTTCCTCTCTTTTTGCGTAATTTATACAGTTCGTGGAGTATTCTACAATTTGACTGAGCAAATTTTTTTTTGCCGCTTTGAGTCTCACCTTTAGCTACATTTAGAGGTTGTGAAGCTGGTCTGTTACGTTTCATACATATTGAGTAATTAGTTCCTGTAGTTTATTTTTTGGCAAATGTTTTCTAAGACGATTTGATCACAGATGCAAAAAGGATTTTCTTTTACCTCTGATTAAGCCTTAAGCTTCTTTATTGCGGCTAAATAACCTTAGTTTCTTTGGTTTTCAACGAAACGCTTGGACCTGAATAGCTACATGTGTGGAGTTTTTTTTTTGTATCGTGAATAACGTGATGATTTCTTCATTTGTTTTGACTCTAGAACTGTCGGCTAGATTACAGAATACGCAGTAGTTCATCTGCAGCGATTGGAAGGGAAACCAGCCGGCAAATTTACTAGCAAATTCTGGCCTTGAAGGAATTATCTCAAAGCGTTTTTTTGCTCAGAAGACGGCTCTAAAGTTCGAACTGATCTTTCATTGATTACT